CTCCATCAGTAGTCAATTCATGATCGACATCATCATCAATACATTTAAGAGATTAGATAAGTTCAGCCAAAGTTTGGCATCAAGTCATTGTTAAAGAACAGATCTTTAATGCACAAAAGAAATCTTTTCCAAAATGAGTGAAAAAGCCTAACAGAAATAAAAAAAGGAAAACCAATTACTGCTGCCATGTGTGGCATTTGAGGCATAAATTTATAGCTTTCAAATAGTGTCAATTTTTTCCACATGAATGTTTCCACGTTAGTTTTCTTTCTTTTGTGTGCTTCTTTATTTATTTTATTACTACTGTATTATGTTTTTGATTTAATTTAGTGTGAATCTGGACTGCTCTCCTTTTAGTTTTGGTTTTGATTCTTTGACTGACATGACTTACATTCCTTAGAGACTTTAGAAATCTATATTGCTGAGAAGAAAGGATGATGCATTAACTCTGATAACATTACAGTACCGCAAGCATGAAAATATTTTATAGATTCATTTAATTCATTACAGCATTTAATGTTTTTAACTTTAATATTTAATATCATGTCATGTAAAGGCTTTTCATTTATTTTTATTTTTATGCTTTCAACTCCGTCACAACACGTATTGTGTTCTATCTATTTTAAATGTAATGGTATTCTCTGTCAAACGAAAGAACTGTTTTTTTCATTTCTTGTTTTATTTCCTGATGAGGGTCTCTAAATTGTGGCCTAAAATGCTAGAACATATAGATATTTGCTGGAAATCGTAAATAGGTGTTAATTTCACTGTTGTACTGTTCCAGTTTTGCTGTGTGCTGTTATTTAATTGTCCTCTTGGACTATTAAAAATTTATAAGGTATTTTTGAAAATATTAATGCCCAATTAAGAGTCATATGATTATAATTTTAAAATATTCTGAAAATGTTCAATCTTACAATCTATAAAAAAAATTTCTGAATTTTCTTTCTATTAAAAAGAACAATTATTTTCAATAAATTACCTAGTTAATGAACAAAAAAGAAGTTAGATATTATATAATCAATAATGTATGTAGTGTGTAATTTTTTTTATATTGAAGGTTTATTATGAAAGTATTGCTTTATTTGTTTATTTTTCATTTATAGCAGAAAAAG